GCAAATGGAACAGCCAGACATCGGTAATCACATTTGAAGTACATTTCCCACGATATATCTCACTATTTTTTAAAAAAATCAAGTAATATGCTAATTTGGCACCATTATGTTGTAGTATTGGGTAGTATGTGGTGATATTGGAGTGGTATTGGGTAGTATTGGGTAAATCGTCCCGCCGTATAGGATCTGGTATATCAAGGTTGTGGACCCTCTAGAGGTCACAATTTTGATCCGATTTTGACGAAACTTGAAATACATGTTTATAACCCAAAGATCTTGGTTCCTTTCTATATTCGGGCGTATCGGATTGTATCTTTCTGAATTATGGCCCTTGAATGTAGAAAAAATCACGCATTTAGCTTGTAGGGTCCATGTAGAGGTCACAATTTTTATCTGATTTAAAAAAAACTTGTGAATAAATCACCCATTAAACACTAAGATCTTGGTTCCTTTTGATAATCGCATACATCCGAACATAACTTCTTGGATTATGGCTCCTGATTGTCCGAAAAATTGCATTTTTAGCTTGAAGATTCTTTATAGGTCACAACTTTTTTTTTTCGATTTTAAAAACTGTTTAGATATTTCACCATTTCACCATAATGAAGGTTCAATTTGAATTTTGGGAAAATCGAAATGAAATTGCCCGACAAAATGGCCGCTCTTTTACGTAAATTGTGTAAAAGTATGCTACAAAGGTTGTGGACCCTCTAGAGGTCACAATTTTTATCCGATTTTGATGAAACTTAAACATATCTCTATATCCCAAAGATTTCAGTCCCTTTTGATATTTGTGCATTTCAAATTATAATTTTCTGGATTCTTGCCCCTTATTGTACAAAAAATCCTGTTTGTTGCAAAATATGGGCGTATCCGGCCTAGCAGCCGCTGATTAGCTTGTGGATTCTCTAGAGGTCACAACTTTTTTTTCCGATTTTAAAAACTGTTTAGATATATCACGATTTCACCATTATGAAGGTTGAATTTGAATTTCGGAAAAATCAAAATGAAACTGCCCGACAAAATGGCCACTCTTTGTACGTAAATTGTGTAAAAGTATGCTACGAAGGTTGTGGACCCTCTAGAGGTCACAATTTTTATCCGATTTTCATGAAACTTAAAACATATCTTTATATCCCAAAGTTCTCAGTCCCTTTTGATATTTGCACATTTCAGACCATAACTTTCTGGATGATTGCCCTTGATTGTACAAAAAATCCAGTTTGTTTTTAGCTTGTTCTCTATCCATCTCTTGCAAAATGTGGGCGTATCCTGCCTGGCAGCCGCTTTAGAGGTCACAATTTTTTGTTGCATTTTAAAAACCGTTCAGATATATCATCATTACACCATAATGAAGGTTGAATTGGAATTTCGGGAAAATCGAAATGAAACTGGCAGACAAAATGGCCACGCTTTGTACGCAAATTGTGTATAAGTATGTAATACAAAGGTTCTGGACCCTTTTATCCAATTTTGATGATATTTAAAATATATCTTTATATTCCAAAAATCTCAGTCCCTTTTGATATTTGCTCATTTACGGTAAGACCATAACTTGGTGTAGACCATAACTTTGTGGATTATGGCCCCTGATTGTGCAAAAAATCTTTTTATATGCCCACATTGAAATGTGGTCGTATATTGTTGTCGCCTCGGTCGGGCGTTCACAATTGCTTGTGGACGCTCTATAGGCTAAAGTTAATATCCGATTGACTTTAAATTTATACACAGTATTTACGGTCATGAGACGAAGAAGCCTATTGATTTTCAGCGATTTTCGATAATTACTGCCAGAGTTATGGCCCTTGATCACTTCAAAAAATCTTGTGGACGCTCTAGAGGCCAAAGTAAATATCCGGTTGACTTTAAATTTATACACAGTGTTTAAGGTCATGAGACAAAGAAGTCTATTCATTTTCAGTGATTTTCGATAATTACTGTCACAGTTATGGCCCTTGATCACTTTGAAAAATCTTGTGACGCTCTAGAGGCTAAAGTTATCATCCGATTGACTTCAGATTGATACACATAATTTAAGGTCTTGAGACGAACAAGTATATTGATTATCAATGAATCTTTATGACTTGAACAGCTAAATCCATGATATTAAAAGTTTTGTATACTAAGCGTTAGCATGGGGCAGAACTTTATAAAAACCGAACAAATTCTAATGGTTTTCTGATAATTACTTAATGAGTTGTTACTCTTAATCAGATTTTAATGTATTATAAATGTTTCATTACCGAAAAAAGTAAAATTAGGGACAACTCTTGTTGACTGCCCGGACGATATAACTGCTGTGGGTGTATGTTTCGTTGCCTGGTAACCTATCTTTTTGTTTTTAGCTTGTTCGCTATCCATCTCTTGCAAAATGTGGGCGTATCCTGCCTGAAAGCCGCTGGTTTCATCTTTAAATCGGAATGGCGCTAGTACAAAACCGAAATTAAAAAAACAGAGCCCAAGATATTTTGCATTTTCATCTGATCTATCAGATTTGTAAAAATGAATATTTGCTTTTGAAAAGACGTTCCAACCCGTCAAAATTGTCTGTTCGTCCGTCCATCCGTTACACTTTTTGGGACACAATAACTCTCTAATTAAGCTAGAATGTTCAAGCTTGGTGTAGGTGTTTATTAGGTCAATGCCTTGATGGAGTTTGTAGATGAGCATTTTCTGCTTAGGGTAAGCAATTTGATTGGCTGATGCTTTGGGACACAATAACTTTAGTTCTAATTAAGTGAGAGTGATGAAACTTGGTGTATTGTTTCATTATATCAATACGTTGACTAAGTTCGATAATGAGCATTTTCTGCTCAGGGTAAGCAGAGCGATAAGCAATTTGATTGGCCGAGACTTTGGAACACAATAACTCTCCTTCTAATTGAGCTGGGGGGTTGGATGGCTGAATGGTTAGCACGTGTGCGCTGTATCATAAAGTCTGTCATTGAGTCAACTGACGTGGTTTAGATTCCCTGGTTGTACGTAACAAGGAGTATGGTCGCCTGTACAACCTCATGGGTTTTCTCCGGGTCCTCCGGTTTCCTCCCACTGCTAAATACCCCTACGTGCAAGCGAATTATTGAAATAAAATTGAACCATATTTTAGTCCCGAAATGACCTAGTTTGTGTCGAGTGCACGTTAAACCCATTTCTCTCTCTCTCTCTCTCTCTCTAATTGAGCTATAAAGTGTAGGTGTAGGTGTTTGGATGGCCGAATGGTTAGCACGTGCGCGCTGTATCATAAAGCCTGTCATTGAGTCAACTGGCGTGGTTTCGAATCCCCGGTTGTAGGTGACAAGGAGTAGGGTTGCCTGTCCAACCTGGTGAGTTTTCTCTGGGTACTCCGGTTTCCTCCCACTGCTAAAGACCCCTACGCGCAAGCGAATTATTGAAATAAAATTAAACCATATGTTAGTCCCGAAATGACCTAGTTTGTGTCGAGTGGATGTTAAACCCAATTTCTCTCTCGGTGTTTGATTGGTTGATGCTTTGGGGCACAATAACTTTGGTTTTAATTAACCTTGAGAGTGGTGAAACTCAGAGTATAGATTCATTATATCATTACTTTGACTAAGTTCGATAATGAGCATTTTCTGCTTAGGCTAAGGAGCAATAAGCAACAAGACTTTGGAACATAACAACTCTGCTTTTAATTAAGGTAGAATGTTTAAACTTGATGTAGATGTTCATTAGGTGAATGTCTTGACTGAGTTCAATGATTAACATTTCGAGCTAAAGCTAAGCAGAGCTAAGAAATTTCATTGGTCGATGCTTTGGGACAAGATAACTTTGATTCTATCTGATAGAGAGTGATGAAACTTAGTGTATAGATGATAATCAGTTTGATTGCTTGATGCTTTTGAAAAAAATAAATGTGCGATTAATAAGTATGTGTCATCTATTTATTTGGGGGTTTCGGCAGGGGACATCAGCCTCACTGTTGGCCTGTGTTATACAAATTGGGCAATAAATAATTAACCTAAGAACCCATAAACCGAATTACCCAATGGCGGCAGCTAAGGAAAATTATTAACACAAAACAGACATGATAATACACCGAAGTTGGCTATGCCTTTTTACGAGTGATTAAACTACGAATGTAATTTTAAATCATTTCAACTCATATGGCCATAACTTTTCATTATGCAGTGTGGGGAGGTGAAATTATCAAGACACCGGAAATCTTCTATTAGTATTTTTGGCATGATTTGGTTGTTTTTTTTGGATAAAATATAAATAATTCATAGATTATTTTTTACAAAAATGGGTAAATATTATCGAATACATATGAAAGGTAGGCTGACACATTCAAGGAATTCATATCAGAGATTTGATAATTATTTTATGTCTTTATTTGGTCTCAATCACAGCCAGATTATATTAAATGTCACTAAACAAACTCAATAGTACATGCTTAATACTAGCTACGACAATGTAGCTAAAAACATTGAGATATACATGTATCTTCTTATCTAGCTTGATACATGTTTTATTAAAATAGATAATCTACACATGAGAAATTTAAAGCTAGGGTCTTTGCTCATACAATTAAAATCTGGGATTATGCTTTCCAAATCCCTAAATAATTTGGTTCTTACTGTACCCCTGATTTAATCCTGCATCGTTCCCCCCTACCCCCAAACCAAATGAAGTATGAAAATATAAGTACACAGATATACTGTATCTTTATTATTACTGTTCATCTAACGTTTTAACTATGTTAATGATTAAAATATATGAGATAAGTTCATTATGGCTGGCAATTTGACCTGTGACCTTTATGCAAATCATTTGATTAATCCTCTACCTATTTGGCCAAGAATTTCCCCAAATGTCCCTGATATATTTATATAACTTTGGTGAAAAAATGAGTTTGTTAGTCTCAGAATTAAAGGTTATGGGCCCTTAGAATCACCTGACTGTAGTTGACTAAACCAGAATAAACTCTTGATGCATATGACAACTGGTTTTACTAATATTTTTTTAATTTCTAATTTTAGAGAGTTCCAATCTAAATAACAGTTGACTAAGAGGCTAAGAAGTAGGAAAGGTGAGATTTGTATGTTGGAGGCATAGATTTCTAAGTCAACAGGTGAATTTGTACAAATATCAGTAAAATTCTAATAAACGCAACAAATCTAATATGCAGAGGTTAAAATCTGTAGATACGGTGTGTAAATTAACAGGGATGGGAAATTGTCTGAAAGGTGAATTTATTATAGCTAGGGGTGAAAAACTCTGCGACAGTGCATTTCCTGTACTGGGTGTGTTAATTAATGGACAGGTTAAAAACGAATGACACAGTGTGTATTGTTTGTTTGGTGAGTTTTCTTGAAAGCGTGTTATAACTGCAGATCAGTCTTTGTTAAAGGAGCTAAATCGCTAATATTTTTGACCTAGAAATTGACACAAAGGGTTGCAATTGCATATAATGATGTATAAACTGATTTACATTAAATCGTTTCCGTTTTTACTCTAATTTCAAATCTTTTATATTCGGCGAGATACGCCAGAAGTCTCAATTGAATGGCAATCTCGAGCGTCTCGTTATTCCAGTCTAAACCAATAGTATTTATTGCGCATACTCTCCCGATATGAATATGCCGTCACCGTTTCACATGACTTGTTGAATGTCTAGCCTCGTTCTTCGAGTCCCTTGTTCGAATGGGCCTGAAACGCATTATGGTACACGATTCGTGTACCAATGGTAAATTGTTTATTTTGTCTTAAATATTGGATATCAGAAGCCAATTTTTCCCCCGTAAGATCACAATATTGCTGATATAGAGTTAGAGACTTAGCTACTTTAAGTGTAGGTTTTTATACATTACACGTGCTGTAGTTACATAATTCGTTGCGTTTCTGGCGAACCGACGAATCTGATATATTTAATTATTGAGAATTATGTGTTTGTGTTGTTATATCTGTGGACATCAAATAATAACATTTATTGGTGATTTAAACATTCACATGTTATTATTTGATGGCTACAGAGATAACAAAAGAACGCAAATTTCAAACGCGATGATATGTGCATTCTTGTACGTATTTCATTTCTTGATGAATACTAACGTGTTTTATACTTTGTACCATAGTCGGGTTGCAGTTATTTATATATATGTCTTTTTTGTGGGTTTCATTTGTTTACATATTATCGCGCGTACCACTGAACTATAAATGCACATATCTTAAAATTGATCGCACGCAGTAGCGTTATTTACCAATATCTGGTCCATCCTCAATTTGATTATCCGATATATTCTATCTACATAGATATCAGATTAACAAATCTGTTTCAAAAGCACATTTATAAATATAAATTCGCACAATTATTGAAAACCTATAAGTATTGTTTCTTACCTGGTTGTAAATAGGACTATCCAAGAAAAAAGTAATTCCTACACTGTATATAACAAATGATAATTCACACATTCAATAACAATGATGCATATAGGGTCATGCCTCCACTTACACTCACAGTTATATCTTCGATTGTCAAACATCTGCTGATTCTATCTTTGTGTGACAAGCTTGTCTTTGCATGCAAAATACTGACCTATGACCTAATAATACCTACTAAATACATTTCATGCTTATATGTAACGCATAACAGGCCTCGGTGTAATTTTACATGCAAAATTAACGGTATGTATTTGTCATAAACAATCGATGTCAAAACGATATACTGCCACGATGTTATGAATGTTGAATATTTTCGCTAATATTACGGACACGTTAGTCCACGTTGTGTAGTGAGAACACACGTGTTCACATATTCTGCACAATATATATGTGGTTATATTTCCAACCAATCATGTAAAGCTGCATGTCTAGAACATTTTAAAGGACACGTATGCGTAAGACTATACATGTATTACACAATTTAGATATTTATGCTGTGTTCAAATTGTTTTGTATATTTACTGTATTAAGAGTGTATAGTTAATAATTACTCTTGAATTATGGCAAAGGTAGACTTTTAAATTGCAAACTATAAAGGTATTTTGGTTATCGGTCTTACAAATAGAAATAAGACATAAATAGCTTGTACTTACCGTAAAAATGAACTGAACGCAACACAAGTCTCCGATGGAAGAGAATATTAGTTAATTAATAACCGCTTATCCAATCCACACAAACGTCATTCCTTAAATAGCCCCACGCCCCTTTAACAACTTATAAAGCATGATTTTTCTGTTGGGCAATTTATACTACACTCTTTGATGTGCTTAATAACTATTGAAGAGGCCCGAACTCCTAAGATCTGGTTATTAGATGTGTTTACTCTGTGTGTTGATGGATAAAACAATCAAAATTAATATTTGTGTCTGTCATAATTATTGGAAACGGAACGTTTTTTTTAATTAGGATATTAGTGTCTATGGCATGAATACGGTAAGCAGTTTGTATTTGCAATTTACAAGTTAAACGGGTTAACACGGTTAAGGTAATACTTGACTCGTATATAAATTGATTGGAATAAATCAGTTTTACTCATTGGTTGTTTATATTGTTTTATTTACCTAATAATCAACTAGCTTGGCTCGCCATCACGACAGAGATTAGTTCACCGATGTTTTTGTAATAAAGAACAATAGTATTGTTTGTTGATTAGCGTTGTGATTTTAGACAAAATGATAATTTCACCAATGTTTTTGTAATAAAGTAGACCCGTATTGTTTGTTGATTGACTTTATCCCATGATTTAAAAAAATTGGCGATGGTTAATATTGGGTCAAAAATAATTCCTTAAAGTGCGTTAATTTTGCATGTAAAATTATACCGAGGCCTGTATTTATGATATCCCCATTCTTTATCAAAAACTTAAATATATGATACAATTCCTTTTAAATTGGCTTTCTCTGAAACAAAGTTTGGCAAAGTTATGCGTTACATATAAGCATGAAATGTATTTAGTAGATTTTATTTGATCTTCAGCGAAAAAGGGTTGTTCTATAGTAATAAAAAGAAATAAAGAGTTCGAATTATTAGTTTATTTTCACGTTTTGTCTGACACAATAGACATATTGTTAGCTTCTGACACATGTGTATTAATTCTACAAGCCTTCTGTGTTTATTGCCCGAGATAATCGCACTACCCTTCAACCCAAAATGCTTCCTATAGTTCCCATATTATGTAATATATGATTGGTGCAATACCCATGCTGTTAGTCTTAATTGCGAAGACATTTAAACAAAAGGATTTAATCAGGGTAGGGAGTCGACGTGTACACATGTAAATCAGATGCGTGAGATTTATCATTCGTGGATGTGTTGTCAGTGTGGGAAATACTGTTTTAAATGGATATATAAATACACGTTTTATGATTGTGGACGAAACGGTATGTGCATCTCAAGAAAGCTTTGCTTCGGAACCGTCCCGTCGCCGTTAAAAATCCAACATCTGTTTCACCGTAGTGATCTTCAAAAATATTCCCCGGATAATGACAGGCATTACAGATACCTGCCGTCGGATGAATCCTTAAGAATAATATTTCACCGTATCGCAACAGGTCAGTACTAAAACTAACACTTATTACAGTCTTTCAACATTGTGCTGCAAAACTGAACGATGACCAACAAGTAAACACATCATATTATCGAACATCGCACGTGAAATTAGATGTTTGACAACAAAATTTAACACCTTGCGTAATTGGACACCTTGACTGATTTTAATCACGGCTCGGGAAATTGAACGGTCCAGCTAATTATTGAACAGTTGTGCTAATAAGACGGGATGCTTATAATTCAACACGTGTCTAGAAACTAAACACTAGTTAATTAGACGCTTGGTAATCAAAATTAAAAAGTGAGATTGAAATTCGATAGAAGTTCAAAATTGAGCACTATTCGCCGAAATTCAACAATATTTATGAATAATTGGACACAGAGTAGAAATTAACGTTATTTACACTAGATTAAACGGTACCAATGTTACAGTGTTAATATATAGGGGTTAATACATAGTTTTACACACTTATTTATGATTAAGAATTGCTATTGTACGGATAGATTTGAATAACTGTGAAGGAATTGTATTGTGTTCATAGATAAGTAGAACTTTCATAATTATTAGATATACTATTCAAAAAAAGTAGGGGATATTTGATTTTCGGGGCATAATACTAAAATATGCAAATGACTACGAAAAAAGTCACTATAGAACCTAACAGAAGAAACATTTCCAGTTACATGTGACGCCCAAACGCACCAATAGCTACCGTATGGAATGCAGGTGATGCTTGGGATCATCATGGGGGTCCAACCCAAGATTTGCACGACTCTGACTTTGAATGTTACAGTCATTGTGGCATTGAATTCCAGGGTGGAAACATCAGTTTAATTGTTTTAGTGACCAGAAAACAAATTTTGATATGCGTCGGCTTACCCAAAATGAAAGGTTACGTGCCCTTGGCATGCTACAGATCGGCACAACACAGGCGGTTGTGGCGCGGACGATGAATGTTTCTCAGTCTGTCATAAGCAGGCTATGGTTCAGATACCGTGATACACAATCTGTACAAGACAGACCACGCTCAGGTCGACCAAGGGCGACAACTCAAGCCCAGGATCGATTTATCCGTACCTTGGCCTTGAGAAATCGTGTCATCACAGCAAATCAGATCAGCGCTCGTCTTCAAACAGACACTGGTGTGAGAGTGAGTGGCCAGACGATTCGGAATCGACTGCATAGGGGTCACCTTCGCGCCCGACGTCCTCGCGTGATCCCTTGTTTGAGAGATCATCACATTCAGGCAAGACGTCGTTGGTGTAGGGATCGTCAACACTGGGATAATCGACGCTGGAGCAATGTGATGTTTTCAGATGAGTCAAGGTTCACTGTTGATTTTTTGGACAGACGTAGGAGGGTGTGGCGTCGTCGAAACGAGCGCTTCCAAGACGTTAACGTCATCAGACATGATCGATTTGGGGGTGGTTCTGTTATGGTGTGGGGAGGCATCACTGTTGCTGGAAGAACGGCTTTACATGTTGTTGCAGGGCGTGTTACAGGCCAGTACTACCGGGACAACATCTTGGCAGTCCATG